CTTATCTCTGCTGCAGTTAAGTAATACAAACAGGTCTATGTGTCCATGAATGCTTGCTCGCTGTGAGAACTGACAGTGCTGCACTAGGGGGAGGCTGAGGAGCCTCTCACCTAGAAATGTGGAAGGCATGCAGCGACCCACTGAACATGGGGTCACGACCCACTTTTGGGTCATGACCCACCAGTTGGGAACCAAGGCCTTAAAGTACTCTGAACCAAATAACAAAAAATGTGATACATTGCAGTTTAGCAATCCTTAGATTTGGTGACTGCATTCGTTTACTTTTTTTTCAGCATTAATATAATTAATATAATATAGGTGCAGAAAATTGCTGTTGATCCTGAAAGAAATTGTTGCCTTGTAACATCCTGTGTGCTAAACTGAACTGAATTCTCAAACGCATGTTGTCAGGTGTTTTCTAGAAACTACAAAGCCCTTCTCCCTTTGTAATTGAGATTAGGTGAGGAGGTGCTTGTAGTTCAGATCAGGAGAGCTGCCTAGGCTGACAACACTGCTCCTTCATACAGTGAGCATCATCACCCTAGGGCGGAGTATTACTGGCAGGATCACCAGGTTGAAAATAAAGCCTGAAAAAAATTAAACAAATGCAGAAAACACATCTGTGGATTGGTAAGCTATAATGTGTAGAATGTTTGCTTTTTCTGGGTTTACATATACTTCAAGGGAACCTGTGAGGATAGAACGGTGAGATCTTCCACTACTGACTTATTTGTAAAGACTCCAAGGCTGTAATCCTGATCCTCATCATTTGTTATGCAATGAATTGGTGGCCAGGAGCTAGCTTGCAGAATGGGAAGTCAGTATTTACAGAGTCCTTGAGTTCCAGTCAAGTGACTGTGTCCTAGGCCGAGTGGTGCAGTTTTGGAGATTGCTATCATCAGTCTGGTGCAGGCAGGAAGAAGCTTTTTCCTAGTTTTCCCCTCGCCCACTGATTACTTAGTAAGGTGAGAGGCAGTAGCACGGGGCTGATCTGTGTGGAATAACATGTGCATATAAATGCCACTACATAGGAACAAAGATTTATGTAACCGCAAGGTAAAAATATTTTAGTTGAGGAAGTGGATACCAACCCTGGATGATCTCTAAAGCAAGATGGCGCCAATCTTCTGGAGAGGAAGCAAGATAAAAGTATTGACGGGGAGAGTACCAAGTTGTGGTGCTTTCATCCTTTCAACAGAGAGCTTCCTCCAAACCGCTTAGGATACGACTGCATATTCTCAACCCAATGAGGCTAGGTTCACACCTGCACGACACCCGATCGTGTTCAGGTGCACACAGCGATTGCTGCCCGGCCCCATTGATTTCAATGAGGTGACATCCGCGCGAGTAACGCTAAAAAAGGTACAAGTACCTTTTTTAGCGACACACAACGTGCGGCTTTTTTGCGCGTTCAATATCACAGGCAGAATCGTGGCGGGAAACCGTGCGATCCGCCCGGCACGACTGGGGTTCCATTAGAAAATAATGGCACCCACTCTCGGTTCACACATTAGCGACTCCCGACCGCGTGGCAATCGTACACATAACCTTGCGGATTGCCCTGGGGTCAGGACTCGCCTAGGTTGAACCTAGCCTGAAAGAGTTCACCACACCACACATATATGGTTATTAAAAGGCAAGGCCACAGAAAACTGATATTCCAGTAATGGATGGATTCAGGTGTGCTCTTTCCTAATTTCAGTACCCTACCACCACTGAACCCTTAATGTGGCCCTAGTGTCTAATATCATTTTTGTGTTAGGCGCATACAGTCGAAGGGATTTATCTATAAACAATTCACAGAATCATTCACCCTGCGTTTCTCTGTGAACATTGGCTTTTTGTGGCTGGAGGCAAAACCGAGTGTTCTCAATCTATTTTCTTTTCAGATTCGAATGTCACGTAATACTGCATTATGGCTACTGGATGGAGCTGAGGAGTATAGGGAGTAAGCATTTCTTTCCTTTGCTCCATCTAGTGGCCATAATGCGCAATTACATTACATTCAATCTGACAAGAAAATATACGAACGTTGATAGAGATCTGCATGGTGACTGGCTCTGCACATTTTTGACTATGTAATGCGAAAGCGTAACACTAAGTGTGGCGCTTTCATCCTTCCAACACTGTGCTTTAATATCCATGGGCATTTTTGGCAATACAATTACTTCTGTCCACCAGAAATCAGGATGGTTATGATGTGTGAACACAGTATACAATCTTAAAAGCACAAGATTTTCTGAGCAGCTTGGCCATGCGGCCTGTGTTAAGCCCCGTCACAAACGCTGCTTAGCTTTTGATGGCAGCATTTTATTACTGTGAATAAACAGCTTTCCTTATGATTTTCCACGCTGAAGAAAATCTGTTTCCTAAGAGACCAACACAATAAAATTCATCCCACTGCACAAGGCACATTGAGCATTGGCTTGTGCGCTGAAGAGCATGCCGATTGTTTATTGGAGGAGTGCGAGGGGCCGATTTTACTTGTTTTGTTGATTTAACGAGATTAAAAGGGCTGAAAATTAAAAATGTTTCCATGGCAACCCTTATTTTACTGCGAAAGTATAAATCACCGTCAAACAGGTTTAAGTCAGTGCCTTGTGTAGGTGGGCAGCCATGCAGAACCGCACATTCTTCAATACATACGTGGCTTGACAGTGAAAAATGCACGGTCAAGGAGAATAGATTTGTGAATGCCAACTAAGTCTGACTAATTTTTACATAGATGGAGGGCTTTGTGTGCCCAAAAACATAACCCACGTCCTAATTATAGAAACGAATACAAATAGAATTGGTGATCACTGTGCTTTTATGCATCGTAAACTCAAATAAGTTGGTGCTGCACACATCAAGTCCATCAAAAAATGTCCACTAATTCTAAAGATTCAAAGAGTGCTCCACCTTCACCATATGGAATGCAACTCACCACCACTAAATGACCACTCACTACAGGTAAAGTTGTCCATTACCTGCTCGAACTACAGCGGAGTCCCGGTGACCAAAGTTCGAGCTGTAGGTGTCAGCCACACCATGACCAGTGTATGGCCAGCTTTAGGCCTCATTCACACTGACAAGAGCTGGCCCGTACAGACCCATGCGTCATGCACGGCTGCATCAGGCCACTCCCGGGAAGGACAGGTGCTGCGTGTGATTTGTACACAGCAGCCTGTTATTCTCTATGGGAGTATGCTCACCTAAACTGCACATCCATGTGGGTGTCTGTGCTCGGATGCAGACATCATCCATTCTGTCTGCGTACGGATACGGACGCCCGCATGGGCCAATAGAGAAGAACATGCTGCTGTGTACAACTCACACGCAGCACCTGTCGTTCCCGGGAGCAGCCCGATACAGCCGTGCACGCCGCACTGATTTGTACTGGGGCTGTGTGAATGAGGCCTAAGTCATCATGCTTACATTTTATCCTTCTCCATCCTTCTCCATTCCAAGCCATCACTCCTGCAGCATTTTCACAAATCAATGGAATGGAGTAATCGTTATCCCGTACATTGCCTCCCATATATTCACAATACATATAGTCAGGAAAATAAGGCAGTCATGTTGAGTAGCATCGCACCCAGTGCGGTGGGCGTGTTTGTGTATAGGTCCATTACAGCCTACTCATTTTGAATGAACTGCCTAGCAGAATGTTAACACATGGAAATACATGGGCTGTTGTGCATTGTGTTTAGTTGACCCCAATACTGATCAAATGGCAACCTGTTTTTATCTATTCCAATTAATATAATAGCAGTGTAGGCAGCCAGAGGTCACCTGAATGTGTCGCCTCACACACTGTTTTCCCAGCTTCTGAGTCTACAACATGACTTCTAGCCCACCATCTATAAAATGGCAGGCGAATAAAAATTGGCAAATTAGAAGGGAATATAAATCTGTCACAAGTACGTTTCCGCTGAAATAATACTTCAAATCACATTTTCACATTTCTCCGAAAGCTCAGTTGAGAAACCAGCTGGTTTTCTTTTCAATGGTTTCTGTTACTTGAGTATTGCAATATTAGGCACTTGGAATGGATGAGATTGTGGTAAAGACGGGTGTAAATATAAACTGACTCTTAAAATACTAATTGTCCACGCTGGGCTCTTTACATTTCTCAATTGTAGGCAGTTCACTCGAATCAAAGCCTCTCAGAGTCGGTGTACATTTCAGTGCCGAGCTATTGGGAGAGCAATCATTGCTGAATAGCTGAGCCGGTTTTCAAATAATAACCTATATTTGAGTATAGCTATATTACAGTAATAACCCAGACCTGTACTGACTAAATGATTGTGTGTGGTTATAAGTTGCTATTGACTGGGAATGCTGTGCCTGAGGGCAGGAAGAGCAGCAAATATCCTGGCTTTAAAAAAAAAAAATTTTGAGGTAAGCAGTTATCAAGTTAAAGCAGCAAATGTTCTCCCCAAACTTCCTTATCCCTCTCTGGAGGTCATTTTCCTGTTGCTGTTGAAATGCCCCCCAGAACTAAATCTCCCAAGAGACATTTCTTTACACGGGATGGTGTGGGCAGGCTCCGGTCAAGGCAGCGGCATAGGGGCATTGTTTTGCTGTGAAATAATCAATGTTGGTCAACAGGCAGGGCTGACAGATCAGCAGGAATGTCTGACAACGTTGGTTGCAGCAGTGGAACTGTGTGTCAGTTCAAACACGAAGTTAAAAGCACACAGAGTATCTAGCAGATGAACAGGTATTTTTCTGTACTTGCAATGTTTTCAAATGGATAAAACATGGGGAAAGTTCTACGAGACACGGTTGATGGGTTTTGCCATCTATTGATCTGCTTCGATAGCCTTATGTTGTTTCAGCAAAGTGTCCTTAGCCCTTCCAGGGCAGAGACTACTTTGTTTTTGTGAATCTTCTGCCTATAGGATAGGTGAGGTGTAAATCTCTGCATTGCATAAAATGTCATACATCTTCCAGTGGTTGATGAACACTGATGCCATACAATTCCGTTTAACCAATTGCGGTCTCTTTGTGGACAGGTTGCAGCGAGGATGAGACCGTTATAGAGACCACTCCGGAGGAGATCGAAGTGCAGCTGGAAGTGACAGACGAGGCCAATGCTACAGACAGTGTAAGCATGTTCTTGTGATTTTGTTTTACACATTGTGACACTGGATGTCATTCTGGATGGAACGTTTCCTCCACTGGGAGACTGTGTAGATTGCTGTTGTAATTTGCTGTAGGAGGTGTCCGGAACAACCACTTCTGCACAAATGCTCAGCATGAGGAAGGCAACAGAGAGATGAGAAGGCTGTGATCATCTTTTCTGCTTGCCAAAACTGGAAGCCAGTTGCAGTTCCTTCCCTGTGTGGCAAAGCCAATGAGAACTTCTCATGCCAACAGGTTTATGGCCAAGAGAGAATGTTCTCAATAATACACGGTTTCCACTGACGACCACACCAAGAAAGAGCAACAGGCTTAAAGGATTTGCATGCTGCGATTTCTAAGACAAAAATATCAATGACATGGAAAGCTCATGTGTAACCCCATCCCTTAGGGAAGAATGACTCTCTGCCAAGTGTCTGAGGCCGTCATTAAAGGTCTTGTGCAGCTGGAACAGGAAATGAGCAAGCTCTCTACAACAGGGGCAAAGACTGTATTCAAATGGTGTTTAAAGTTCGAGGAAGTTATGTTTTGTCAGGCTGTTATCTGTGTCCCCATAAGGGAAATTCTCTTTGCATTCTGTGTGATCAACGGTCCAGGAAGCGACTTAAAATTTCCTCAACATGGGCACAAGAAGAAATAATAACCTAATAAGTGACATTGAAGCTCTACAATGTGAAATCGAAGTCATGATACAAGTTTATTCCAATGTAAAATTGGGTAGACAATTGTACAAGAAAGCCAACACGTTTTGGGGGCCAAACCTCGCTTGTGTAGGTGACCTCAGGGTTGTCAGCAGCTGGTTCTGGCTTCCAGCAGATGAATGCTGTCCTAACCTATACACTACATAGCTTACCTTTGATCCAGTCAGCATGCATTGGGGGGAATTTATCAAAGCTGGAGCAGACGGATTCTGGATAGTAACCATAATCAGCTTCTCTCTTCAGTTGAGCTTTGAAAATGAAAGAGAGAAGTTGATTGGTTACTATGAGGAAGTACTTCAGACTCTGTCCCCCCTCCCCCCATTGTTTTCCTTTTCGTAAGCTTTAATGTATGGGATGAGGTTTGTCCCGTGAAACATGTTGGCTTTCTTGTCCAGCCTGCTACCTGATTATACAAAGGAAAAAAATTGTATCTGGACTATAATTACACAGTGTAGGACTTTAGTATCGCTTATTAGGTTTTTATTTCTGCTTTTGTCCCTGTTAAGGAGATTTCACATCACTTTCTGTACTATTAACAGGAACTAATAACTATTAAAAGGAAGCAAGGAACTTCTTCTTTGGCGTGTGTAGAAGCCATCATCCTGCTGTCCAGACACCCTATAGGAATACAGTTTCCATACTATCGGAGAGCAATACTAATAGGAATTTCAGGGTTCCAGCGCTGCCTACCCATTCCTTCAAGGAATAAAAACCCTGACAGAGGTTCTAACACTCCCCCATTCTAACCCAAGCCAAAGAATACATTTTGGCTGAGGTTGAGCATTAAAGCCGCTTCATTTAAAAAAAAATATCGATCTATCTGTGTAGGTATATAAAATATATATGTATGTATATGTGTGTAATATGTATATAGTTTTGCTCCATAAGACACACTTTTTTTCTCCCCAAAAGACGGGGGAAAATGTGTGTGCGTCTTATGGAGCGAATCCCTATCGCCCGACACATGCAATTTCGGGCACCGGGTGTAGTTTTTTGTACATTTAGCCCTGCTAAAGCAAAGCTAAATGTACAGTAGGAGCCACTGCTCGTTTAATACGATCGATCTAATCACAGCACCACCTGTCTCAGCTGTCACTAACTGCAGCTTCTGTCACAGCTTCTGTGATTACAAGATGTTCAATGGGGATAGCAACATCAGCCATAAACTTTTTACTATAAACTCCAAAACAAGAACTAGAGGCCACCACCTAAAACTGGTGTAAAAAAGATTTAAGCACAAGGGGCTTCTTCTCAGTTAGAGTGGTTATAGTCTGGAACTCGCTGCCACAAGCAGTATCAGCTGAGAGTGTTGAAGCATTCAAAAAGCACTTGGACAACTTCCTCAGAGACCGTAACATACAGGGGTACAGGTACTCTTAGAAACAAGAACACACAGGGACTCGTACACACGCATGCACATGCAGAGTCACATACATACACGTAATAGGTTGAACTTGATGGACCTGTGTCTTTATTCAACCTCAAATACTATGTAACTATGTAACTATATGATGTATAATATAATCTGACGGCTTCTAGTGTTTGAGTCTAAGAGGTCTAAAGCAGCTGTGATTTTATAACCTCTTATTGGTGGAAAGTGTTAAATGAATTGCCTTTTGCCTGCTAGTCCCAATCAGACTCCACTTGGTTCCTCTGTATGGTAGCTTCTCACATCAGACATGCAACCTCGAGTGCATCTAATTGCTCGTGATTTATATTTTAATAGCTCAGGGAGGAAGCGAATGCAGAAGATTTAATTACTGCTGCCTGTGACGAAATGGTGATCAGTTTTATGAGTTAAATGTGTATTGGTGTTGAGTTATGTTTGAGTGCGTTATGCTGTGTGACCTGGTTATGGAAAGAGTATCAGCACCATCCCTCGTTATCTCCCATTGTTCTCTGAGGGAGCTCAGAACAATGACATTCTGGCCAGGCTCATGCTGGCCATGGCTGTCTGGAGTTCGTTAGCAGGTGGACACCTGTGGTGTTGAGCAGACCGATGGTCTGGGAGGGGAAGGGGGATGTGATGGGATTATATTCTGATTTCATCACTTGCTGTATATAAGTTTGTGCAGTTTCTCAATAAATCAGAGTTTGTTTCACCTACACTCCAGCCTTGGCTAGTGACTGGGGAAACTGGGAGCTACAGATCAACGGGTTCCAATATCTCCTGAGCAAGGAAGAAGACAGCGGCGGACATACTCATCCTGAGTACGGGGGTCCGTCACACTGCCATGTGCAGATATGACAGGATAAATATGTGAGGTCCAGCCACCGCTAAAGAGCATTTTACAAGAGAAAAAATTATTTGACTTTATTAATCGAGGGTGATGGTAAACTGTGTTTTCTCCTGATGTCATTGTGTGTCTGTGGCCAGCTTGTGCTGTGCCGTAACACTGAGCTTTCCATATACATTGGCTGTCCCTTTTTATGGGAGATAACCTTATATAGAATGACAGGGTTATCGGTGTCAGCAGGAAGGAGTCGATAGTGCCTGCACTTCCTGACTTCTGCGTACAATAGATTCCTCTGAGCCTCTTGTGTCTCACTTCTCTCTGTAATGTTCACTGTGAGGACCTAGAACATGACGACATCTGCACACAGTAAGTCGTTCCTTTCTGCTTTCCTGCTGGGTAGGTAGTCTTGCTGCAGGTACATTGTTTTGTTATGGCCTCAAACCAACAGAACACGCAGGTTTTATTATTTCATGGTTGGGACTTTTTTTTTTTTAATTGCTTTTGTTTAATATTAAACCTTATAGTCTGATATGCTGTAGTTTGCCATCTCTGAAATTTAGCTGTTGGCTTAGTGTAAAGGAAAAGTCCACTTTTTGGAAGGAAAATAATAAATGTACACTTCTTCATAAAAACAAAAAGTGCATTTATAATTTTTTTGCATTGAAACCAGTAAAGCCTTGCGATCATTGGACTGCCGGTACAATGCTCTGGTACTGGGGCACAGATTTTCTGTAACATGGAAGGGAGGAAGGCTGAATGGACTACAAATGTGGAGACCATTGAGTAATACAAGTCCCTCTCCCGCGGTGGCTGATGGGACTTGATCCTGTCAATGGATGACACGGATGTGTGGGTGGAGCCATGCACAGCCATGCCAAATGACAATGGCAGCCTGCGGGGAGAAGAACTGCACGATTCCGGGTTGAGTGAGGTGTTGCGAGGTGACCATGTTTCATGTTACTCCCTAAATATGGTCATGGATGTTGTACAAAATGTTTGGTGGTGATGGCAACATCCGCAGTAAACCTTTTACTGTAAATGCCATAACCAAGACTAGAGGCAACCACCTAAAATTGGTGGATAAAAGATTTATCCACAAAGGGCGTAGTGGATTCTTTTTAGTTAGAGCGGTTCAATTCTGGAACTCTCTTCCACAAGCAGTGGTATCCGCAGAGAATATTCAACCATTCAAAAATCAGTTGGATACCTTCCACAGGGACCGCAACATACAGGGGTATGGGGACTCTTAAATACTAAACCACACAGGGACTCTTTTATATACACACACACACAACACACACACACACACACACACACACACGTTGAACTTGATGGACCTGTGCCTTTTTTTCAACCTCAAATACTATGTAACTCTGGATTCCTGAGTTCAACAATGTAATGAGGGCAGGAATGCTAAAAGGAAATCGCCATATCAGTCTTTCTTGTATCCTCTATGTAGTGGAACAAATGGTAAATTCCTCCATCCATGCTGTTTAGCTGCGTCTGTTGTATGCTGCCGTGGCTATTGTAGCACCTGCAGCTGTCAGAATACCAGAAAAGTAACTCCAGCTGATTGGCTACAGTCATTGCTCGGCTGAAAGTTGAACAAAAAACGACCGAGCAGCTGATTTTTTTTGTTTTTTTTGTTGCGCTAGCAGGGCCACCCACATTAAGAATTATGCCCGGCTAATTGCCAACATCTTTATGGCTGACCTAATAACAATAATCCCCCATAAAAGATCTTTACAGCCATATACTGTCTCTGCGCTCACTGCTATCCACTGCTGACGGAATAACATATGTATGGTCATGTTTTATTCTTTTTAATGGATGTAAAGGAATACTGAAGTATCTTTTTTGCTCTTTGGCTCCTGTGTACCAGAGGCTGCCTCAAGGCTGGTACTTCTAGTTCCACAGTATACTTGAATTGATATTGACTAATTCAAGCTTGAATGATGTGCAACAACCTGAAAATGGGGAACTACAAATCCCAGCAAGCTCTGCCAGTCCATCTGTAGAGTCTCTAT